TTTCAAAAATCAAGTCAGTTTATTTTTCTGTTTCCTTGCATTCATTGACTCTTTTCCAACTGTCTGTTGGCTGTGTTAGTCTGTTTTAAGCTAGTTAGTAGTACTAGTCTCTGCTCTCAAATGCACAAAAAACGATAATGATATATTTTGAAATTTTCCTTGTCGAAGTTCGCTTATTATATGCCGTTATCACAAACGGTATCTCATATTTGTTTTTAAAAAAAGTTGCTCAGTTTTTAATTTGGAAACCTTTAGATATATGGCGGCCACATAAATGGTGAGGCATATGCAACTGCCAAAGAACTTATTAACTGAATCATTATTGGTCAAATTGAAAGTGTTCTTTTTTAGCAGGATTGAACATCTTTGTTATCTATCTTTGAAATGTGATGAAAAACTGGGATTTTCTATCTTATATCAATTATGATGAATATCTGATTGATGAATTTGCTACATGTTTCAATTAGATATTCGATATTCACTTCAACAAAAAATCGAGTACTGCCAATCAAATTTACTTAATGAGGAAGGGCAAGATATCGTAGTTAACAAAAAGATATTGGCAATTATAGTGTTCTGAGTATTGTAGCACTAGTAGTAACTGAGTTATATTGGAGCAGATTTTGGTTTATCTAATGATTTTTTTAAATAAAATTTGTGAAAAGTTGAATTAAATTTGAAATGATAAAGAAAACTTACTAATGAAATGTCATATTTGGCTCATCTCAAATTTTTGTCTCATTTGTGCTAACTAGACCTAGATAATTTATTTTTGAACCTGATGTTCGAATGCCCTGACATATGCCTGATCACAAATGTTATATCAACACTAAGGGCATTGTCTAATTAAGAAACTGACTAATCCTTGCATGATGATTTCATGTAGACGCAGTTTGTATCGAAGGAAGAGGCCACTAACAACTGTTTGACCCCACGACTCATGGGAACTGCGACATCCATACCACGCGTGTACAAAGCAAACAAAACAAACTCAGGTGAAAAAGCTCAAGAGTGTTTTAACTAAATACTTGTAATTTCAAGGTATTAATCCGGCAGGGCGACAATTCGTAACAGGTGACAATTCGTAACAAGGCATTGGCAAGTAGAATACGCTAGCTCCGCTGCGCTTACATCCTGCATGAGAGGAATACTCTGCGTGAATCAGTTTTCTCCGCTTAATCTACTTAAGAATTGTCGCAATGAAATAGAGAAAAAGTAATTGATTGCGAGATAGTTCGTTTTTGCTCCTCAAATGCTTATTAAGAGTAATGAACGTAGTGAGGACTCTTATATAGGTCTTGATGAATTTTTTCTTAAATTGACATGGACACATAGAGCAGTAAGTTTTTTTTTGTTTCCAGATGATACTGGAGCAAAATCAGAGGAGGCTCAACTATCTATTAGTGGAGTCAACTCAGTGGACAGAATAGACCGAAAAATAGACGAAGATCTCACAAGTCAACCGGAAGTTAGCCAAAAAGTGCAAAGTGATTTGGACGAGAGTTTAAATGAAAATAAGGGATATGAACCAAATTTTGACGAAGAATCTAGCAACCAGGAGGAGGAGAGTGAAGTTTTGAGGGAGATTTCGATTCATGATACGTACAACGGAGCTATAGGGTTGGTGATTTTTTAACTGATCAATTTTTTTAAAATCGGTTTCCTTGTCAGTTAAAATAAACTGAAGTCAATAAACTGATCTACTTGACAATCTCCACTCCCGTAACCTATGGTATCGGTATCTACTCAAGAATCTCCACCCCTCCAAATTAAACAGTAAATAAGCATTAGAGCTTTCTATGAAGCATGTTAATTTTGCTGCTTTTTGATAAATCGAAAATTTCTTTATGGGGGATTGTTAATTAGATCCCAATACATTTGCCAAATTCTAAATATGATTGGCTGCTATTAAAAGACTCTAAGATGTGACACAAACGATTGAAAAGACTCTTCTTTTTGTTTCAGAAATCGAAGTTTCTCTGGACTTCACATGCTGTAGAGCCGCATTTTCTTATTCATTCGACACAATCAGGGTTTATCTTTGTTTGGAAATAGATTAGGCATTGTGATATATCAATTTGTAAATAAATCAGATTTAATATGTCTTTTTTCAATATATCTTATGCCATTCGCATCAGATTTGTTTTAATTATTTAAGCGCGAGAAAGTGTGAGTTGCGAGCGGGAACCAGACTTTTTCCCATATACAAGGTTTCTTCCAAATCTTAGAAAATGATCATTGCAGTTTATGCCGTCTCAGATACCAACCACCTCTTTCAATGTATGTAAAACTCCACTACATTCTCTAATCTTTCTTTCTGGTCCAATCCAAACGAGGTCTTTCTGCCCTCCTCATGTTGGACTAGCCCTCAAAAACATCAGTCGAGCTCAGTAACTACAATAACAACATGAGGCTTTTTTTTAACCCCTTCTTGTTTTGCCTAATTGTAAAGTGTGTGCCTCTGGAGCCAAATGATTGGAGTCAGGGCTGTCCCTTTTCTGAAATTCGAAGTTTTTTCTGGGAAAATCTGCATTATTGAACCATCGTCTGTCTGCATGTATTTTTTCGGTTGAGTTTGCAAGGTGTAGATTTTGCTTGAAGGCTCAGGATCTTTATGACAATTCGACGAAAATTTATTGAGTTTCTGGCACATCTAGTTTTGTCGGGGTTATTCAAATAGAATGTTTTTGAATTAGTAATTAGTGACTTTCGTTTCATTGTCTCTCGACTTACTTTTGAGTTCAGTTCTTTTTCTGTGTTAAAAGGAAAGCAAACTCCACTTTCGAATAACAAAAGTGTTAAGGTCATGAAAACCGTGATTGACTGAGTTTCGAAAGTGATTTTTTTCTTCAGATTACCCTACAAAAAAAAAGAAATTTCTATTGGTCCATTTTCTCAAATTACATCAGTTTTATCGAAAAAATGCCCTTCATAAACTGTTCTAGAAATTCAAAAGCTTTATTCAAACAACTTCGATTTTGAAGTTTCTTAAATCATGTATCCTGAATAGAAAGTAATAAATTATGCCTTTTTTTATTTTGATCATAATCAGATTACGTATTTTTCCTTTTATAGTTCATCATTTTCCACCGTTTGTATTAACACAAGAGAATGTAATGTTTTAAGAGTGATGAACGCAATGCATCGAATAGAAAGTGAAAAACAATTGCCTTCTTTTTTATTTTGATCATATTTAGATCAGGTATGTTTTCTGCAACGATTCATCCTTTTCTATCAGTCGTATTAACACAAGAGAGGGTCATGTTTTAAGAGTCATGAACGTAGTGAATCCATAGCTATCTATCTATTTATCTATCTATATCTATGCTATAGATTTTAATTGCGTTTGACGCGTATCTCACCATGTTTAAGAATATCAATTTTGCATGTTCAACGAAAGAATTTTAGCACGTTCAAGCTATATCGTGTGTTGCAATGCTTGAGAAATTTTTCGATTTTCCAGTTTATGAATTCTAGGCCAGTTAAAAGCCGTAATTGTAAGACTGTAGCTATAATGTCAGCACGGAGGGGAGGAGCAGTGCTGCTCAGTGTAGTGTAGTGTATAGGTTGGATTCATCCATCTATACATGTAACGAGTGTTTTTTGTTGCTGCTTTTTTTTCACCAAATTTGAAAATTGGAACCCAATAGTGAGTTGCTTTCAGGGTTGTCCCGGAGGTTGCGGAATTACTTTTCAAATATGAATACTTAAATCGGTATAATGACCGAGATATTACGTTTTTTATGATTTTTTGGAAAGTTAGATTTCATTAATTTCGCGACTGTGAGTTTCTCAACTCTATAGTTGCGTGCTCTCAGAGTACTCTCGGCTGTTTGATCTCTACAATTCTGACTGATCAAAACCTTCTAGTTTGCGAGTTATCTCGTTTTTTTACGATTTAGAAAAAAAACAAATTTCTAAAAGTTAGGTTGTGAAATATATCACCTCTAAATTCTGAACCGCAAGGCGCGGTGCTGTCAAAGTAAATTTTCCCAAAGTCTTTTAGTCCCCCACACGATGTATTTCTCGTATTTAAAAGTTAGTCTGAAAAACTAAAAATGATTTTTAAAAAAAATTTCTCGACCCTAGAACTTCACTTTCAGAGTTTGCAGACCTTCAGACGTGACAGCTTAGATTGTTTCAGTCGTCTTAGGTCTAAGCCAGCCATCGATTCATTCGGTATTCCATCGATCCGTTCGGCCATCCAAATGTTCATCCATCGATCTTTTCTACAAGACATCCATCCATCTAGATATTCTTTTGTCTAGCAGTTCAATAATCTATCCATCCATCAAGACATCTGTCAATCCAACCTGTCATTGATTAATCCATCCTACAATTTAGGCATTCATACAACGATAATTCATCCGTACATTCATTACTCGCTCCATCTAACCAGCCATCCGTCCATCCATTCATCTAGCCATCCAACCAACCATCTATCCATTCAATCATCTGTCTATGCATTAAGCTATTGATTTATTAAGCCTTTTTTTCATCCATCTAGCGATCCACCAATCAGTCATCCAACCATCAAACAATTCATCTAGCCATCCAACCAACCATTCATTTGGTTAATCATCTGTCCATCGTGGCTTTTATTCATCGAGCAATCCATTCATCTAGACATCCATTCGTTCATCTATTTGGTCATTCATGCATTTTTTGATCCCTCCACTGGTCTAGTCTATCTCCTAACTCAGATGCATTCACGCAACTGGTCATCGACCGATCCAGCCAATCAGTCGTACATCTGTCTAGCCGTCCCTACGTCCAACTAGCCAACCAACGAACCATCCTTCTATCCATGCAATCCATTCATCTAGCCATCAGCCAGCCATCAATCATTCAGCAATCCATCCGGTAGTTAATCTACATCTTTAGCCAGTCATCGATCCACTCATTCATAATCGATTTAGCCATCCATCCGTCTAGATATCCATCCATTCCGCATTCACCCATGAAGCCATGCATCCATCCAAGCATCCCACCAGTCATCAATCAGCGATCTAGCCATCCATCTAACTAGCTATCTCTCCGTCCAACAACTCATTCATTAGTTCAGATATACCCTATCCATCGCACAGCTAGCCATCTAGCTCTCCAGTCAGCCATCAATCCCTTCGGCCATTCAACCAACTAGTCATCCATCTCTCCAGCCCTTCCATCGATGCTGTTTTCAATCAAGTCATCCATCCATACATCCAGTCATCCTTCGATCATGTCAGTTTTCAATCAAGATATTCATCTCTCCAACTAGGCGTCTAGCCATTCATGTAAACAGCCAGCCATGCGTCGATCCAGCTGTCCATTAATCTATCCTGCCTTCAATCTATTCATTCAATCTATTCAATATTCGTTTTTGTTAAAGTTGCATGTTACCACTTTTGAGGAGCAGCATTTGCTGCAACGGGACGGACTTGCAATTATTTAAAATGCGTGTGGCGCGTATCTCACCATGTTCAAGATTTTGCAATTGTGCATGTTTGAGGGAAGGGTTTTTGCACATTTAAGCTATATCGTATATTACAATGCTTAAAGAGTTTTTTTTGGTTTTTCCAGTTAATGAAATCTAGGCCTATTGAAAGGCTCGAATTTAATGCTCTAGCTATGATGCCAGGCTATGTGGGAAGGAGTAAAGGTAGTCTATAGGTGAAATTCATATATCGATTCATATATAAATTAGCGTTTGTCGTTTCAGCATTTTTTTTGCCGAAATTGAAGTTAGCAACCCTATGATGGGGCGGTGTCAGGTTTCCCCGTTTAATAAATTGTCCTCCAAGTCTAAATACCCAAATTATTTTTGTTTCCGACATTGCCATTTTTCCGAATTTTTAAATTTTTTTCGAAAAATTTGTTTAAAAATTTTAAATTTAAGCTTCACAAAATTAGAAAATCCTACCATAATAATGTGATTTTTCATTTTTTTTTTCAGTTTGTTTTTTATGACGTTTTTTTTTTTTTTGAAAGTTTCACTCTGAAAATACTTCACAAATTTTGAAATTCCCGACCCTATAGTGGCGAGTTGTCATGATACTTTCAGTGGCTGTTTAACGCCCAAAAGTGGCTGTTCAATGCCCATTTTTTCCGAGATTTTGATTCGTCTCTCAATCCCGCCATCTCTACATACTGCCATCCATTCAGCTAGGCTTCTATTTATCTAGATATCCATCCAGCCATAAATCTATTTAGCCAGTCATGTCTTCTGCCATCAATCCATCTAGCCTTTTAACCAACCGGTCGTCCATCCATCTAGCCATTCATCCTGCCTCATCAGTGCAGCCATCCATTTATCCAACCAGTCATTCTTCGATGAAGCATTCACTCAAGCTATCCATCCCTCCAATCGTCCATCCAACTAGCCGTCTAACCATCTATCTAGTCAGCCATCTTTGCGTCCATCCAGCTTTATGCTGTCATTCAGCCTATCATTCCCACATCCAATGAACCATGCAGCCATCCTTACAACTAGCTGAACATCTTTCAACCTATTTTTCTGCTAACAATAAATGCTGTCTTTTTTTACGAGCAGCTTAAGCTGAGGAGGCCTGCTAGTACTATTATATGGCTATTGATGACTTTTTCGTATGTTTTTTTTTTTCTGGAAAGTCTTAAACTTTTTTCACGCTCAAGTTTGATTTTTCACCGTTTGAATGTTGATTTATTTTGATAAAGTCGGTTCCTTTTTTGTCATAAGGAAGGCAAAGTATCATCGGTCAGCAGAAGTGTAAAGGTCACAATAAACGTGATCGACTTCTTGTTTTGAAAACGGATTTTAATTCGCAGGTTTCCCTGCTGAGTGAATAAATTATCTATTGATTCAGTTTTCTCAAATTGCAATAATTTTTATCAAAATGGGTCAATCATAAATTAATCTTGATGTTTAAAGAGCCTTAAAGCCACATATATTTTTTTGAAATTAGAATGTTGAAATCTTTTCCAACTGTCTAGTGGCTATGTTTTTACGAATCAATCTCATTTGATGGAATTTTTAAAAATATATTTCGAAGCATCGATAATTTAATAGCAGCTGCTTTATAGGTGGCTGGTTTTTTTGTAAGTCCAAGCGAACGTGGTGCAGTTGTTAGGACGCGAAACTCGCGATCTCGTGATCGGAGGTTCCATTCCGCCACA